TGATACTTGATAAGAAAAACAGCAGGCCTCCTTGATAAATAGACAAAGATTATGCACGAACCAGTTGCAAAAAATATATAAATGAAACGATAACCCAGCATATGGCATGGTCCCGGCCTCCCTTCTCATATGCCTCATTTCACTCTCCCCGCCTCGGCCCTTTTCCTTCTTACTGTCTTATGAAACCAAACCAAGCTCCGCCCGTGAGTCAACGCTGATGCAAAGTTCATGGAAAAATAGAATTAAAAGACAATGGAGATTTTCCATGAACTTTTTGACGTTCCCCTCCTATTTATTTCTCCTTCTAAATGATCATGATCTTGACATTCTACATGTATCTTATGTATTTTCTTTCCTTCTTCTTCACATGTCAACTCCGTGAGGGGTTTTGTCCACTGCTGTCTCTCTAAGTGCCTAGAATGGATTCTAGCAAATAGTAGATCTCAATATATATGTATTGAATGACCCGAAGAACGAAAAGCCTGTTGATACATGAATAACGTTGGTTCAGAGACATCCAGTGGTGCGCTGTGTCAAAGATCCGGGCTTCCACCTCATCACTTGGACCTGTGTCAATGTCCTTGATGGAGACTAGACGCCATATTCATAAAATGGGCAGTGGGCTCAACTTTGGAAGAACAGCAAATTGTAAAAGACAAAAAAAAATCTAGATTTAGAAATTGGACAAAAATAAATGTGAACGAAGGAAAGCATAAAAAATAGTAAAAACAGTTTTTAAAATGTCATAGACTGTATAGGCTTGCATTTTGGTCCATTGATCCGAATGAAGTATTGTATTATAAGTTACCAAGGAAAGCTGCTTTCTGGGTTGGGCTTCTATGGAGAAAGGCGTTCTGTTGAGTAATGGGATGGACATGACTGCTAGACCTTTGAATTTTTATTTTAAGGCAAGTCCAGACAGGTGGGGACACATGTAGCCATTTCAATGGTAGAGACGCTTCAAGGGCTTCCTAAGCTCAAGAGATCACCCATTCATTCCTCACTGCCATCGAGTCAGTGCTGACTCGTGGCAAACCCCTGTAATTGTAGGAGTAGAAAGCCCAGCCTCTCTCCCTGAAGAGCTGCTAGTGCATTTCAAGAGCACGGGGACCTATGAAGGGCCAAGAACTGTGCACATATGAGGGCTTCACTTTCCCTTTATTTACAGACCGGGGTGTGTTTTCTGCCAAGACAAGTGCAGAGTCAGGTGCAAAGGTTTTCCCTTAGACACAGACTTGTAGCAAAAAAAAAAAGTGTCTTTAATATATATTAAAGTATCAGTAGATTTCACACAAACAGCTAGATTTTTGTCTCCTTCAAAAGCCCTCTGGGGAGGCATCGGTTGTTGTAGGCACCCTTGCTGGGGGACTGCCGCTGGCTGGGACATGAAGTGCTGCTTCTCCCGCCACTAGCCCTGCTGGCTCAGTCATCATCTGTACCTGGCCTCACAGTATCATTTCACAGGGTGCCCAGGGGAGTAGTTGGGCAAAAACTAATGAGAGAATAAAAGACTAGGCAGAAATGGTACTAGGCCCAGGTACAAGAATATTCTCGAATGTGCCCTCTGCCCAGTAATGAGAATACTAATTGGTTTTGGGAAAATTATTCTAAGTTGGGAAGGTGGTCTGAGCAAGTCGAGGTTTCTCTCTAGGCAAATGCGCTGCACAAACCCTCTTCAAAGTGTCCACAAACCAGGCTGTTATCTTGAGGACTCAGGCGCGCCTGGCCCAAGCCAAGGTCTTTTCCATCGCCTCATATGCATGGGAAAGTGGGCATTGCCTAAGGAAGACCAAAGGAGAATTGATGCGTTTGACAATGGCGCTGGTGCAGAGTATTGAAAAGACCATGGACTGCCAGAGAAACAAAACCAGTTCCGTCTCAGAAGAAGGACAGGCAGAATGCTCCTTAGAAGCAAGGAGAGTGAGACTTTGTCTCAAGTACTCTGGAGCTGTTATCGGGACAGCAAGCTCAGTGAAGTGGAGGGGCAGCGACAAAGAGGAGGCCCTTCATGAGGTGGCCCGACCCAGGGGCTGCAACGACGGGCTCCACTGTAAGCACCACCATGTGGATGGCACAGGACCGGCCGTGTCTTGTTCTATGTCCCGGTGAGATGGAAAAGACTCGACCACACCTACTAACAACAACACGTTACAAAGGCACCAATGATGAGAAGAATGATTACATGGAAAAAGAGCCAGCTCTCGCCCTTCATTTTCAGAGTATGACTGACTCAAAGACGCAGTGCTGAGCTAAGGGCCGTTTGGCTGTGTCTGAGTTAAGCATGGCTCGGCAACTTTG